TTATTGTATGAATGTGAATAAAAACAATCTAATAAACTATTGTGGTCCATGGTATAAAGTAAAGATATTCTTTTAATATAAAGTCGAATAAAGTCGAAGTCGAGGCGAAAAAACTCGCAGTAAGAGGTACAAAAATACGACTGTACTACACGACATTACCTTCTCGTTAGTGAAGGAGCTGCCAATCAACTGTGGGTGTCATGTACTCAAGAGCTCATTAGACAAGGAGCCAGTGGGGTTTCGTTTAACAACATCAAAGAAATCGTTACTAGTTGTACCTACTTATCAAAATAATACATGAACATTCAATTCTTTGATTATAAAGACCCAAGTACGTCAACCTATGCCTTTGTGCATTTTTTAAAGCATTTTCAACTTTGTGCTCTTTGTGACTGAGTCGATAATCGATTGAAGAATTTTGTTAACTCAGTGGAGCTTGATGTGCTGTTGTTTACACAAATAGTGATGTAACAGACGTTATCGGCAATTATTTTCATGTAACTCAGGCACTTGTTTAGAGTTGCCTGTCAATTTAATTGATTTTGATTTTGATGTAAAGTTTTGTTTATCTAGTTAGCCTGAGTACCTATAGAGGTAGTATCACTTTTGGTAGTTTGGTTTAACTCTTTGAGTATCGTCGTTATAGACACAATTAAAGAACAATAGGTTGCGGTCACCGGTGACCGCGTGGTGTTTGACAGTTTAATCATAGGTACCTTATTTTTTTATGACGGGGCAAACCTTCAAAAGGCGTGTGGGATTGTGGAGAGTGGGATTTTTACCTCACTAAACCACCCCGGTGGCTTAAACTGTCAAACACCGCGCGGACACCGGTGACCGCAACCTATTGTTCTTTAATTGTGTCTATAATGACGGTACTCAACGAGTTAATCTTAGGTACCTACTGCGAAGTTTGTGTTTGTTATTTTTTTTATACACTGGTTATTCAGGTAAGCTTTTTGATGATGCTATAACAGAAACTATTTTAACTACCCTTACTCATCCCGCGGGCGCAGACTAAGGGACTACTCATTTGACAAAGGCTAGGCAGCAGCACATTCAGATAAACCTGAATCTTTTAAACCGTTCTCTGCGATCTCCAGCGGGATTGCGTGACTGTCAAGTATAAAGATAATTGGGTACTTGCTAACTAGTCAAATTCAATACTTTTTTCGAACTGTCAAAAACTACATTTTTCTACGATTTTTTTAGCGTCAAACAGCATACTTACTTGTTAAAAGTCTGCTGGAAAGACACTAAAATTAACTTAGTCATAATATCAATTAATGAAACTGTGATTATTTTTTAATATTTTATTGTACTGAACAGCCGAAATAATTTATTTTTGATTAAGACAAGTACCCAATTAAAAACACTGTATGTAGAATTTAGTTTTAATTTATTATTAAATTTAGTTTTACTAGGAACACCAACAACCTATCTAAGCTCAGTTAACTATGTACACATGTAACATAACCAGTATAAACTGAACGTTAAATGTGCGGAAAGATGATGCGACGCGACACCAGGATAAACTGGTTTTGTATAGATTAATGTGTGGTCGTGTGTACAATCGAAAATTCAAAATCGACAATGAAAACTAAAAATAAACACCGTATCAATTGGCGTGTCGTTCTATCGTGATAACAGGGTTCCGACGATGTTAGAACAATGGCCGATAGTTTTTTGTTTTACTGATGACTGACTTACTGGTATCATACCATGTACTGATGGCTAGCGTGACGAACAACACGTTTAGATTTAATTATTTGGTTAATTACTCGAACATGCAAAATATTGTAGTGATTGCCAAGTTCATTTCATATTAATATGAAGAATGTAATAGGGATGATGCCAGTGTATGAAAATTAAAAATCTAATTAGTCCGTCAGTTAGGTAGTGATAAAATATTAGACACGTATTTTTTTATTTTATCGTATAAGAAAATGATACTTAAATATAACGAATCAAAGTTTAGGAGCGGGGGCTAAAACTTCATTTCTACGTATAAAATGTACATAGAAGTGACGTCACGCGACATTTCAAATCAATAGATCGTCGAAAGCATTCGTTTTTATAAAAAATAAAAAATACGTGTCTAATTTTTTTTAAATAATCTACCAGACGGACATTAAAATAAAAATTAGTCATCTACCCTATTGTAATAGGTCGCTCCTTATTTTACTGCACATGCTGAAAATGGCCTTTAAACACATCAATTTCTTATTCCTGGCCTTTGTATGAGTAGACTTATGTAATTATTCTGTCCAATGTCCAATTGTCCATGTGGTATCTCAGACTATAATGTATCTCTGTGCCAAATCCTATCCTGATACTTACAGTACTGCTTTGTGTAAAAGAGTAACAAATCCGTACATCGTCATAAATATCATTTACCTGCCTCTAATATGGGCAGGATAACTTCAGTTACCTGAACAAACAATTGCCAATAATATCTCCTAACAGGTCATTTCTTATACATTTCCAAGTTACAAGTCGGTAACTGGAGGAATATAGAATATAGATGATTCAGCGATGCAGTTCCGAATACCAAACGAGGGCGACAACTCGGTCATTGCTACGCGGTCACGTGACTACAATATGTAATATGTACTTGTATCGGCGGGTTCACACGGTATTAGTGGACTAGCTAGTACCTAACCTGGTTCTTTTAGGTTTAGACTTTAGACTCGAAATCAAAATCCCGAACAACAACAAAAAAATGAGTTCCCATAAAACCTCTTTATCTGTTGATAAAGGTGTTAGGTTAGAAAAGACCACAGATATAATAAAGAAGACTATTTTAATATTTTAAAATATTTCTGTGGATAAGACCATAGGCCTCCTCTACATAAAAGAATTGGTTAGAATCTGCACGTATAGCTCGAGGGTTGGGGATCATACTTTAAACGGTTTAGGGTTATTAAAGAGCGTTGCTGTCAAATGTGTAGTACCTGACGCATATTAAAGGTATCGCCAACTTTTTGGAACACTTATTCCAATCTTTTCCATTCCAATACTTCAAGTGTGGGAGAAATGGCACGAATGGGCCGGCTCGACCGTAGTGATACGACGGCCTCACAGAAAACCGACGTGAAACAATACTTGCGTTCTGTTTCGTCGTGTGAGTGAGGTTGCCGGAGGCTCAATTAACCTCGGGCCCGATTGGGGACTGCAATCTTCACAATCCCCGAATCCCCAACATTCCTCAAATGTCTATTGCCGGAATAAAAAGGGCCGGTAACGTACTTATAACACCTCTATTGTTTCGGCAGCGCCGATTGCTTACCAGCAGGTGATCCGTATGCTTGTTTACCGGCTTACTTCATAAAAAAAAAAACTTATTCCGTCTGAAAAATTCATTACTTACTTAATTAAGTCCTCAATAGACAATAGCGAATTAATTAACTGTTGATTGATTTATTGATGCATTGATGTTATCGTATAAAATGTGGAACAATAAACTGTAACGTAAGGCGGTCTCCAATCGCTTTAACCTTCTCCTTCTCCTCCTCGAAGATCTTCTATAAAATACGTGTATGCTTATTCCCGAGAATTTAAAAACACAGCCTGATCGGACCATCGAAATTGAAACTTTCTGTTTAACAGTCATAAGTACGTTTAACTCGACCAACAATCATTGAAATGTTGCAAAGTTAGGAAATCTTATGTTTATTCATATTATATTAGATTATTTTAGCACACACAGCCTTGATATTTTACTGCAGTATTTGAAAATGCTTGTACCATCTTGAATATTAATGTAAGTATTACTTGGCGATCGTTATCTTTGTACCACGTCTATTATAATAAATTTTTGCACAAAAATGATTAATATACCAAGTTGCTAGGATAGGTAAAGTATGCAAGTTGGCTTGGTATGCATTAACGTCTTAATGTACTGAATCGTTTTTCATAAATCTTGGTGTAGATAGGAAGGATGTTGAAATTCGTTTAGTTTTTGGTTCATCATCATCAATAGTCGAAACACGTCCACTGCTGGACAAAGACCTTAGTCTTCCACGGTGAACGACCACTCCCCACCTGCATCCACAGTTACAATGATTAATTATTAGATTTTGGTTACCATTATGTAATTTCAAATCCCTTAAAATAAGTGCATATTTGGTCTCGTGCTAGTAAGCGCTATTGTTAAGCGAATTAATTTTTCGAGGATCAATGGTCAAGTCAGGTATATAAAAAATAGAGATCGGAGATTTTTCAAATTATTGGGATAAAAAGTGTGATGTTGTTATCTTTCTAAAACCATTAGTAGTCAACCTACAGACTAAACCTTAGCACCTACAGATTAGTGCTGTAAGTTACATTGTACCTACAATACGAGAAATACAGTAGGTTACTTAAATAAATACCCTAAGAGAACGATGCTAAATATTTTGGACGCTGCCTATTCTGAAATATATGTTGTAAGACTATGTGAAACCAGTTTGAATGCCACAGTTCGTGATAGTGATCGCAGAACTGATATCGGTCATCAGTGCGTCGGTCCTGACTTCGTAACTCGATTATAAATGGCGCTAAAATATTTGTACATTCTCCTATTGAAATATTGATGTAGATTTATTATGGCTAGTGGTCATGTTTTTATGTTTTAGTTTTGTTGCTATCTCGAATGAACTGGACGTTAACGTCTGATTATTTTCGAAAAGTTACGTGATCAGATGGCTAGATATCAGGTTTGACTCCCAATTTTCATTTCTTCCTTTTGGATTGGATTTTACCGTTATTTATGAATATTTCACATGTTTAATAGCTAATTTTCGCCATTTATTTTGTGAATCTAACGTAATGAGGATTAGCTTACTGCCTAAGGGTGGGTTCATATCTGGTGGTTACGCGATCGCGCATATCTTTGCAAAATGCTAAGACTCAAAATAAAAAATATCTAAACACTCAATAAAAGTGTGTATTTATGGGTGACTCGACCCCTAGCGACTTATGGCCTAATGACCAACGGGGCACTTGATTTACTATGGTCATATTTTTATTTCGTCTCTACTTTGAAGTAACTGTACTTATACCACTGATATGAATCAATCGAAACGTTACTATAAAGATGGATGCGTTTAGTACATGCTTGAGTGTTTAATATTTGTGGAGATATCTAATTGAATGATTGTCATAGACATCGGTAAGTACCGTGTAATCTCTGCATTCTGTTTTAAGAAATAAATTTGAAAAAGCGTGAATGAGATTACCGCAGGCCCAATTACCCCCCTTCCCAATCTCCCCAATCGCCGAATCCCCAATAGTCCTCAAATTCCTAATCCCCAAAAGGCCGGTAACGCATTTGTTATACCTCTGGTGTTACAGGTATCCACGGGTGAAGCAGATGGCTTACCTTCAGGTCAGTTTGTTTACCGGCTTACTGCACAAAAAAAATTCTTAGTGTGACTGTGTATTGTTATTACATAGGAGGGTTTGCTATAATTTTCACGCTTTTTAGAAGAGTTTGGGAGAAGGGAAAGAAGAAGGAAGGAGATTGCAGTTATAAAGGTTCATTAGAGAGAGCTGCTACCTGGTCCCTGCCAGTGTGGCTGTGCTAGTGACAAATGTATTTATTTGACTATGCCGTTACCATACGGCTTTTTAATTTTTTTTAATGTTAAATATTAATACTCCATGGACTCTTGGTCCGTGCGCTTGTCATATAATTTTGCATACGATTTTTTATACCATACGGCTTACCAGTTAGTTTACTTAATAGGCTCAATTTGAGTACCCACATATTATTTCGGTTAAAAAAACGTATAAACTTTAACTGCATCCTTGATTAATATTGTATGTACCTGATGAAGTATTGATTCGCTTGTCAAATTAACGTCAATTTTTGTTTCATTATACTCATACCAGTTATGGAAAGTCATTAAAACATTTGCTTATCCATACATAGTTCTGCTTGCTTAGTTAAGTACCCTTGTCAAACCACAAGTTATTATTGTTTATTTTTCTTTGTGTGGGTACATTAAAGTATAATTTCGTTCTTTATATAGGTATAAGATTTGTAATATTTGCTGTGAAAGAGGATTGAGAGCTACTAGTTGCTCAATTCTCGCCACCGACTTTATTTCCACTACATTTGCGAGTGAACGTATATAGTTCAAGATCGCTGTGGCAACACTGGCTTGTATTT